TGCGCTATCCTCCACTACTCCTTCCGTCCTGACTTATCTGACTTCCTAGATACCTAAAATCGGCCACTTCTTCTTATTTTTCGTCTCCTATCTTTATAATCACTTTTTCCTTACTTTTCGTCCTTCGACACTATTTGCTTTAATAGTCAAGATAAGATCGCATATATGACAAAAAATTTCAGCATTTAAGACAATTATCAAAATAATGTAAATAAAAAAACTTGTTGTTTCTTATAAGAATTATTAAAGGAATGTAAGTATCACATTAAATGAGCAAGACCAAGACTTAACAAGCAAGACCAAGACCAAGATCGAGACTATATCCTCAAAAGCAAGACCAAGGCTAGAAGTATTTGAAAAAGACTAATATCAAGACCGAATAGGTAAGATCAACACTGAGACAGTCTTAGTCTTGGTCTTGGCCGTTGTTCATCACTAAGATGCATAGCGGTCGCTTTTAAAGTTTTCGTTATCAGATAACAACATAAATGTCTCTAATCATTAAAATTGCAATTTATTATATAAAGAAATTGTTAATTGTTCTGGTAAGGTTGCAATTGTAGGGTTAAGCGACATAACGAACCGGAAGAACGCCCCCTTTTATTATCCTAACTGTGTTTTCCCACATAGGTTTGTAATAATAATTTATAAGATTCGACTTTCTGAAATGTTAAATTTAAATATGGAATCGGGTCTTAAGCCTATCTTCATATCCACGATGTTTAATCGAAATTTTTAATGAAAAATAAATCTTTTAAATGTCAATATTCAATCATAGGGTCAATAGTTACGATGTGGTGGTGGCTGTGGGTAAACGTCCGTCTTATCAAATTATTACGTTACGATACGATAGTTAAGATAAAAGCGGAATGCACACATTAACAACAGTACCATCCGTCCTTTGAACGGTTTATACTAGTTAGAGAACGTATCTCTCATTGACCACCAAACTTGTATACCAAAATCCCGTCACCCACTAGTTTTCACATAGTAATTTATAAATTAATTTTAAATTATTTTTTGCTAACAGAAAGTTTCGAATTTATTTCGAAAAAGCCCGAAATTTTCCTAAAGGATATTGACCACAAGACGAAAACCTTAGCCTCCCGCTTCTGTGGTCATCCATGGTATTTTTGAACCCCCCCCCCCCCGAATGGATTACGTAATATAGATACGTTCCATTTAATAATAAAACTGTTAAAGTAATGATACGTAATCAATAACGCTAGAGTAAATTACTAACACCATTGTAAGGGTAAAAATTAATTCAAAAATTAATTTACTTTTATGTATTGAAATCCCTACAATGATTCTTCTGAAATGTCTTCTTTTATCATCATTGTTCATTATCATTATTATCATCGATATTTGCAATTTTTAAAATTATTGTTAATACAAGTTGTTAATAGAAGCTGTTTCAACAATAATTTTATTATAAATTAAAGATTGAATAATAATCAGTGCTGAAAAGTCTATTAAAAAATCCTTAACAAAAGTATACATATTATATGCATAATTCTAAAAACAATTTGAAATAATTATGAAGGGTGATATTTTATAGGTAAGTGCATACTGTAGCGCACCGCATAGACGTTTCGCACCGCGTTGATCACAATTTTAACGCGGTTTTGTGGTTTCATTCATTCGTACAAAACCGTGCCGATCTAAGATGTATCTCCGACTACAATCATTTTGCGATACCTTGGCACTCACAAATAGGCGCGAACACCATGAATATTAACAAAAAGAGGTACAAAATTACAATTGCACTATCTTAAACAAAAAAACTTCTGTTTAGATATCCAAAATATATATTAAAACCTTCTCCTTTTCCATCTATTTTTGTCAAATTCGTCTCTTCTTCAATGTTTTATAAAAATTCCTCTTGTAAATGAAACTCAATGCAAAACTTCTCGTTAATTGTGACTGATTGATACACATCCGCTGTGTTTCATTGTGTACTTACCTTGTTTGCAGTTAAGAAATTGAGGTAGTTGTTCTGCTAGGTCAGAAGGTTTTTATTTATTTAGTTCAGTATAGAGATTACATGTTAAATGCTGCAACTTTGGAACTTTACATTCGCGTTCGATTTTAAAAATTTAATATTATGATATAAATTTTTAAGGTAATCTAAACACAGTCTAATTGGAAGTGAATTTCTTGACAACTAATATTCAATAAACTACCATACTTTTAATAAATTGCAACCTTGCTGATGAAGTACTTAATTACTTTAATGGATATATAGAGGAATGTTTTATGTGGTTCCAATGTTTAAACAGCAATACCTAAGATCTATATAATTTATTCGTTACTAATCATAAGTTAAATAATTGATGTACCTATAAATTTGTTATTAATTTTTATAAGGGATGATGACAAACTGTTGGTATTATTATTTCACAAGAGCTCTCTCATTGCTCTAGGGTTTAGGACTAAATAATTGATTAATAGGTACCTCACAAATTGTTAATTATTCCAGTTGTTAAGCACCCCTGTAAATATCTTTAAAAAAATAAATGATATTTCCAGTAAGTAGGTGTTGCATTGTATGTACGTATTCATAATTTCGTTTAATGATAATTTAAATAGATACTTGTCAGTTAATGTTATTTATTTATAATTACTGTTAATGTTATTAAATTGTGTTAATTTTTTTTAACTTTATTTTAAAATATAATCACTTAAATATAAAACTTTTAATTTAATTTTTTTAAATTTATTGTTTGTGAAGTAGAAACGAAAGAGTTATTTCTAAACAACAAAAACAGTATCATCGCTATGTGCAGGTAATGTATTTTGTGTACCTACTAAAAATAAAACGAAAGTAGGCACATAACTTTTAATTATTCTAGTTCATAACGAAACGTAATAATTCTTCGTATCTTTTATCGAAATGTTAATTTTTCATTATCCTTATTTATAACTATTAATTCTTTTGTATAAATTTTTCTGACAGATGCAAAATAATTTAATACATTTAATCGGTATGTATATGTAAAGTTAAGAAAACTTTTTCAATTTTACATACTTGATCTTTCAAGTACTTCATACGATCGGAGCCAGGACAGTTCGTCTCGGGCTGCGGCACTTAGGATCACTGATACTGTCTATCCCCCGCAGATTGCTTTAAATTTTTACTACATTATAGGTACTAGGGATAATGCCTACATCCGTCCCATATACCTGTTTTTAATTAGGGTTAAAATTTTTGGTATGTCGAATTCCCTCCTAATTATACATCAATTGCCTCCCAACGGCTCATCCTCATATTTATCAATTTGCTAACGTTTTACTAAATTTTCAATGTGAAATTTATGTTGAAATACGAAGTGTTTCATCTAATTTTAAGAAATTGTTAACAAGACAAACTAAAACTAATAAAGTTTTCTTTGCCTCAAAAAGCTAGACACACACATAAGTAGTCGTTAACTTAATTATCGGAGCTGATATGACCGGGGGGGAACTGGGCTAGTACCCGGGAGGGAATTCGACTTTCTATGTTTTAACCAAAACTACCTGCGGGAGGGAATTCGGCATCGGCACCAGTACTTTTGGGCACATGAAAGGGGCGGCATTTATAGGCGCTAATAACGCCCTAGTTACGCCACTGATCTCATAGGATTTTTTACGAAGTGTTTGCACGAAGCAAAACATTATCAAATAACAAAAATAGTTACCGTCAATGCGTCAACAAGTAGTGGTCCGCCAATGGTTTTTAAATCGTCAAAATTTCGTCCAACTGTTAAAAATGTTGATCAGGCTTGGTCTAGACCCGCCATTCCCAACATGGGGCGCAGTCCCCACCGGTGGGGCATGGCAATATTTTGGTGGGTAATGGGCAGGACGTGCACCCTTCGGCTGACTATACGAAAGACTATGAGGTAATTCGAGAATGAGTTATTAACAGTGAATTGTTTTCTAGTGAATCTGTGGATGTGAATGTTCGTCTTAATACATACATAAAAATATTTGTATGTACATGTGTAATTGGTACACAAGATATTTCCTGTTTCCCCAGGCCTTTTAAGCTTCCTTCAGGTGAATAACCGTAAAATTTTGAATAACAAAATTTAAATATTACAAGGGGGCATCAGGATTTTAGAAATGCGTAGGTTTAGACTGTTGCTATGCGTTCCAGAGGACGCTGGTTTGATTCCGAATTCGTTCACCCTATGGTTCACTTGAATTACTTAGGCAATTGCTAAGACAAAATTCCACAAATAATGTTCACTTAATTCTCTTATGTCTTTATTTCGTTTGTCTCATCTTTCTCACATTAACCACCACCCAAAGGAGACCTTACCTTTCGGCGTAATTCGGAAGGACTGCCCGCCCAACAAACATTAGTAGAAATTAAACACCCAAAAGTTTTGAAAAAGGTTAGCCCATCAAAACAAAAAGCCGGTTACGTCCTTGGTTATATATAAAATAAAATCGGGTTAGTTACACTATTTATAAATCAAGAACGGCTGAACCGATTTGACTGAAAATTGGTGGGGAGGTAGCTTACAACCAGAAGACGGAGAAAGGACACTTTTTATCCCGTTCCCGTGGGGGGGGGGGTAAAGAGTAGTTGCAATGTTTAAATGGAACATATATTATTTCTCGTCAGATTTACTTGAAACTTGGTCTTAATGGTCTCTCATCTGGACATTTTAAAAAATTCAACCTCCAAAGGAGGGAGTTAAAAGGTGTTACGATTTTTGTTTGGGACATACTTTATTTGTGGTTAAATTTACTTGAAACTTGGTATATGTGCTGTTTGATATTATTAATCAAATGAAAAGAGGTTGGAACGTTTCCATGGCATATATTTTATTTGTACTCGGATTTACTCGAAGGTTGCTCATCGTTGAAGTTAAATAAATACGTGTTTTGGCAATTTTTAACAATCAACCCTTAAGGATGAAATGTTGTTTCTACGTTTGTATTTAAAATCTAAGATGGCGACATTACATAAAATTAAAGCGTAAAAAAGGTTTTATGGAGAAACAATATTAATTTCTGCGAGCGAAGCCACAGGGAAAAGCTAGTCTAAGATAAATGCACAGTAAAAAAAATTAAGGGGGTGTCTTATTTGTCTATTGTGTGAAGCGAAATAAAGTTATTGGTACAATTACGACATTAGGAGTGATTATCATTTGGTTCTACAGATAATATTCTTCTTGTACTTTTGTTCTATGACAATGTGCGTAATTAATACCTTATAGAAAGATAATTCTGTTGATATTTTAACTCACGTTTTTATTGACAATTTTCCACGTTACAGATGCTACTAACAATAAGTACGTACAAAGTGTAAGTTATTTTTTTGTTTTTAGTCAATCTTTGTCTATTAATCAGTACTTATCAAAATATTTGCTTGGCATGATATTACTATTTAAATAATAAAAGAGGTCTAAAATATCAACCTTAAAGGAAGCTATTTCGATACCATGACCGAGCAAGTGGATTAGATACCATGATACTTAATACTATGTCGGTTGAAGTGACAGTAACCTAATGAAACCTTAAAGTGAATTTGTACACAACTCCTTCAGTTACACGTTACCTGCTACAATAATGTAATGGTTATACATTATAACAAAAAGTCTATTATTCTAAACTGTTTAAAATAAAAAAGACAAGGAAAGATATTACCATGGATCTTTCTGAGAAAACTGCCTTAATAAGTTCCGAAAGTATTCGGAAAAGAACAGGATTATCCGTAGCTTATGCTACAATGTGTATAGTGGATGTTTTTGGCGTTTTTCCTTTAGTCGCTCTTCCTTATGCAATAATAAAATGCGGTAAGTTTGAATATTATTTATTGTATATAAGTTTTTTTAAGGTTTGAGAATTTTTAGTTACATCAAGTTTCAATCAAAACTTAAAGTACCTAATACTAGCAATATTGTTTTATATTGTGTTTCTGGTATTATTGTTGTAAGGACGTTGGTGATATCGGTTATCCTTCATTTGAATAGTTTAACACTTAGTTTAACTATTAAGTGTAATTTATTATTATGGAAATTAAAAAGAAAATATTTTGTACACTAGGGTCGGAAATTATTATTTTTAAGTATCCAAATATTTGATTTGACTATGCAAATTATCCGATATTTGATTTGCCTACATCCGTCCCATATACCTGTTTTTAATTANTACCTACATAGAAAAAATAAAAAGTAGTTAAGAACCCATATAGATTCTATTAAAAACATATTAAATGTTTATGAATTTTTCCTCAAAAAACAATACAAAACAATTTTTTTAAATACTTTCTGCTATTAGGTAAGATCGAAGTTAAAACTAAATTATTATCAGAAAAAAATAAAAGAAATAGACGCACTTCAGAATATATAGTTAGAGAGAAAATAAAGGTAGAAACGATCCAGATGGATACTGCAGTAAAATTTATCAAATATGACAAGAAGGCAATAAAAGAAAAACAACATAATTTTGAAAGAATGCAGAAAAATATAATTCCTATTCAGAAATAGGAAAAGATATAACGGAAGTAAAATTAAGAGAACAAATGGGAGAAAACGTAGTTGAAAAGTGAAAAAAGAAAACAATAAAGCTGGTAGAAGAAGAAAGGGAAGAAAGAATAAGCAAATCAAAATATATGCAAAAAATTATCTACAATAGAGGTAAGAAGTTCCAGAATATGTTCAAAAAATAAAAAGAAAAATAAAGAACATGAAAATGGTAGCCAAATTTAGTACAGGAAACAAATAGAAAGAATACAGATATTGGCTAGAAAGCAGCGAAAAGATGTCCAAACTTTGTGAAGAACACGAAGAAACAACACAATACGTAATGTCATTATGCGAGGCATCAAGGATAGATGAAAGAATGAAGACAATAGTAAATCTACGAAAATAATTTAATAAAAACTTGTGGTAACCTTCGATAAACTTGATATGTACACCATGTACCCCGAAAGGGAAATCATCATTTTAATAAAAAAAAAACTTTTAAAAAATTATTAACTTTCAAGTAGAACAAATGTGGCTGGTATTAAAAGATAATGTTTTGCATATTTTGATAATTTAAATAATAATCAAATATTTGGATATTTCAAATTTTTAGTATTCAAATAATTCGAATAAATTCCGACCCCTAGCTTACATTAGGAAGTGCTAAAAACTTGTATCTCTTGTACCTACTCGAAATGTAAACACAATTTATAAAATATGGACAATATCTTTGCATCGCATAATTCAAAAAATTGACAAAAGATGCATTACATCTAGTTGATAATATAATATAAATAATTAAATAATTTAACAATAACACAAAGAAGAAAGCAATTCCAATTAATAAATAATTAATTTCAGGATTCTTAGGAATCCCCTTAATCATTTTGATTTGTGGTCTTCAAATATACACTGCTATCCTGTTAGGAAGGTGCTGGCTTCTAATGGAAGACGTAGATCCATCCATTCGTTCCAAAAGACGATATCCTTATTCAGCTCTTGCTCAGGCAGCATACGGAAAAACCGTTGCTGCCTTTATAACATTCTTAGTTAATATTGGAATATTTAGCGCTAGTATCCCAAATCTAATCGTTGGTAATCTATTTGATTTTACACAATTGAAAAACGACAAGCGAATACAGGTGAAAAATATTTTTAAGCTTCACAAAATTTACAACTACTTGGCGAAAATGTGGGCGGTGGAAGTGTCAAAATATCATACTGCAGCTGGATTATAATAGTAGGAGTAGCGATTTGTCCTTTCCTGTGGCTGGGAAGTCCGAAGGATATCAAGTAATTTTATCTGTTTTATTAAGGATGTGTGTTATGTAAATTACTGTTTTCGCAAAAGGATTTGTTAATTAATCTGACTCGTTTTGAGGGTTAAATCATTATTATGAGTTTTTGCATATGTATCAGCTACCAAGTGCTTTATTTTAACAATTTAATGTCTACATTTGTTTGTCATTGAACAATATTATGTAGTTATTACTTACTTATTTCGTTATACTGTTTAGTCCAGGCAAATAGCCGAAAAATAGCAACTTTTTGGAAAACTTCGAACTAGACCTGAGTTTTTCACTAAAATTTGTTAAAAATTAAACTTGTTCGTCCGCTCATAAGTGTATGCAATTTTGTTTATAAACAAATGAGGACGACTTTTTGATGTTTTTTTTTTTCGTTTTTCTTGTACATTTGTTAATTTTAGTGAAAAAAAGTTAAATGAAAAAATCGATAAGAATGATTCTTTCGATAACTTCTAAGGGGATCCAATTTGTCGGTGGTAAACAAATGAATTTAGAAAAAGCGATTTATTTCATGTCCACTTTTAAGATAGAAATCCGACTCCTTTTGCATTGAAATTTCAGGAAAAGAAGCCTTTTTGTACTTAGTAATCCTGCTAAAAGTAATTTGTTAATAAAAAATCCATAAATTTCATAATACTACCAAATGCTAATTATTTTTGATCCGTTATGATCTGTGCTCACATGGAATATGTAGGAAGGTATCTATTAAATCCAGTTATTAAAATTACATTGTTTCATTATTTAACGTTGGATTTGGCTATTTGTTTATAAACTCGATTTTTAGGTAAGATACTTTTATTTGCCTTAAATTAGAGGTTTTTCCATTTTGAAGAATTTTATGAAAAGATTATGAAAATGTATTAAAAAAACATTTAATTTAAAACAAATAAAAATGTCTTACCATGTACATAAGCCGAGTTTTTTCTGTAATAACAGATCAGTAATTAGCATTTGGTAGCATTAATTATTTTTTTTATTGACATACTAATTAATTGGTCACCTATTTATTCGATCGACATGAAATTTTAGCAGCATTAGTAACTATTAAAAAGCTTCTTTTCTGAGATTTTAATGCAATAGGAACCAGATTTTTATCTTAAAAGTGGGCACAAAAGAATTTTGTTTTCTTTATGAATATTCGTTTACTGAAAATTAATGAAAAAAAAATTATCGAATGTCATAAAAAAGCGAATTTATATGTTTATTTTGAAATATAACTACTCCATCATGTTATTCAGCAACAAATTTTATATACTTACAAATGAGATATTACATTAATCTAATATTGAAACCGAATAGTCAACAATTTAACTATACTTAATTAATAACCTAATATAATAATAATAGTCGTCTAAACTTACCTTATTAGATAATTGGGAAACGTAAAAATAGCAGGGAAGTATCACAGAGTGAGTGAATACGGTAAGCCGCCTCACCACTAACACAGTTTTAAATAGTTAAATAAATAATTTAGATGTACCAACTTTGTACCAGTGACCTAAATAATAAATTAGGGATACTATGTATCACGAAGAAAAACGAAATAACAAAAAAAAATTTTTCCTTGATTTGCTTTAAAAAAGTTTATTAATGATATACGTAATTTTTTTACTTTACAAATACGTGAAAAATCAGGCCTAGTTTATACGTTTCTACACAAAAATGTAATTGGTCTGGGCTAGTTACCCCTATTCCTTTTTAATTATCTGAAAAACTGCAACTGATAGTATGCTGTTTTAGACACCTGAGTACGTTATCTGGTATCATCGTTTTGTCCGTCTTCGGATTAATATTGTTTAATATGCTAATCGTTACGCAAGAAACCTCAGATAAAAGACCTTTATTTACCGAAAATTTTTCCTTGTGGGAAATATTGCTCTCTGCTTATGGGATGTTAACGTTCCAATTCGACATCCATCCGACTATTTTAAATATACATTTAGATATGAAAAATAGAAAAAGTATTGGCAAAGCACTTATTGGAGCCTATTCAGGTAATTTATTATTTCTTAGAGGTCCTTTTATGGTGTTGTGTTTTGACTTGCAGTACCTCTTTTTAGTTACAATTGCCTTATTTGGAATTATAGCAATAGTTGCCACAATTGTTCTTGGAGATAATTTACAACCAAGTATTTTAGAGTCTCTCACTATTACAAATTCTCTACATGTTGCAGCATTTCTTGTAGCAATTCAGTTATGTACTTCTTCTGCTATTTGTAATAACTCTCTTTATCAACAAATAGAAGAATCGTTAGGAATATCGAAAGGTAAATACCCCATCATTATTTTTAATGTGATTGTGTGACGATGCAATTTAATTATTAGGGAACCAAATAAGTTCGTGCGGTTTTTCTTTACAACAGAGTGCTATCCATGAGTATTGTTTAACTTTTTGATCTACTTTAGGATAAACCCTTCTTTCATCGGATACATAGATATATGTTGGAGGCAGATGGCGACTTTGATTCGTGGACGAAATAACTGGACACATTTCGGAATGTGTCCAAATCATGTTATCCTGATTCCAAATTGTATCACTGTTTCGTCATCTGGCATGTCCAGTATGGATATGGCGATATGTCCAATAATTTCCGCCGCGGACCGAATTCGCCATCTGCCTCCAACATATATACATTTGAGGTTTTTTATTATATGAGTACAAACTTGGTACCAAAGTTGCTATGGCGGCCCGAAATGATGATAAGTGATCGAACAGCACACAAGTGGTTCCAGAAATTTTCTTTGTGAGATCTCAGCTTTACCGATGAAGCACGTTCTGAGAGATCGAAGATTATTAACAATAACGAGTTGTGAACTTGTTAATTCCATGACAATGTGTTTAAAACTTGCAGAAAGGTTCAATGTGAGTTATGAAACCATTCGTTTGCATCTTCATCAGCCACCAAAGACGTGAAAGTCAAGTAAATGGGTTCCACGTGAATTGTCAAATGACAACGTATTAAGTGGTCTTACTATTCTCGATAAATATTTCACGTAACGTCAACCTGCTTTCGAAAAGTGGTTATTGTACTTAAATTCGAAGTATTCTTATCATTGGCTGGTGATAGTGATTTGGTTCCACACACTCCTAAAGTTTCCTTGCATCCAAACATGATTTTATTACGTGTTTGGTGGACAGCAACCGGAATTATCCATTATGAGTTTTTGGAAACGGATCAAACCATCAGTGCTAACTTGTATTATGAGCAGCTTTAACGAGTACAAGCATCGCTCAACCAAAAACAGCATTCTTTAATCAATCGAAAGAAAGTGACATTCCTGCAGGATAACGCCAGGCTGCGTACAGCAAGAGTGGCCCGGAAAAAAAATTCTGAATTTGATTGAGAACTGTTATCGCACCATCTATATTCTCATGAGATTTCATCAAGTGACTACCACCTTTTGTTTTGTTTCTTGACAACAATATGAGGCACAGAGATGATGGAGATGATGTAATAAACGCAGTACATTAATTTTTTGATTCAAAATCCATGGAGTTCTGCATTACTGGCATACAAAAATTGGCGAACGGTTGTTGAATGTGATGGTAATTGCTTCGATGAATAATAGTGTGTAATCGTTTCTTAATAAATATTTATATTTTACCATCAAAAACCGCATGAACTTATTTGGTTGCCTGATAGTTCCTTGTAGATTAAAAGCTATGCTTTTATTAAATGTTATCATCATAATAAGGTCGTCAGTCCTAAGACTGGCTGGACACGTACCTCCGCTCTTTCCTATCCTGTGCCAAACTTCGCATTTCCCTAAAACTAGAACAACCCACTTCCTTAACTATTTGCGAACAGTAATCTAACCTATTTCTACCTCTACCCCTCCTAACACCTGTTTCTGCCTCTAATATGTCTCTGACTAGACCTTCATGCCTCAGAAGGTGTCCTACCAACCTATCTCGCCTATTTTTTATTGACTTCCATAGAGTCCTCTGTTCCCCTACTCTTTCTAATACCTCTTCATTTCTAACCTTTTCTACCCATGTTATCCTCATCATTCGCCACATTTCGAAGGCTTCTAACCTTTTCTTTTCCGCCGCGCTCACTGTCCATGTTTCGAACTCATACAACGCCGCGCTCCAAACATACACCTTTAACAATCTTTTTCGAATTTCTAAATTAACCGTTCGCGAGCATAGAAGTGACTTCTTTTTATTAAAGGCGACACGACCTTGCGCTATCCTCTGCTTTATATCCCTACTAATCCTTCCATCCTGACTTATCGGACTTCCTAGATATCTAAAATCAGCTATTTCTTCTAATTTTTCGACTCCTATTTTTATATTAGCTCTTAGGTATAATGGTATGATGAAACAATATTGTAATGAGTCATTATAAAGAGCCCTGTAAAATTTCACTCGTTTTTTCTCATCAAATTTAAAACAATTATATTTGTTAACACTGGTGCATTAAACTAAACTGCTTGATGTACTGCTTATGGCTTGCTTTACTGAAAAGCTTGTTGTTCTTAATTGTATCTGTTATGGAGTGTAAAGCTTATTTGCAGTCGAGAACATTGATCCAAAAAGCGATAAAATAATCTAGAATGTTCAAAACTTATAGACATTAGTTGCATGGTTAGACTCTAGGACGTCGCTGCACATTTTATCCATAATTCCTTGATTCACCCATGTACTCTTCAGTTTTAAAAGATTTATTCGTATGTTTCAGATTTTACCTGGAAGAGATGCGTTGTGCGAACTCTTCTCACTATAATCACTATAATTGTATCAGAGTCTGTGCCTCGATTTGACTTGGTAATGTCTTTTGTAGGCGCAGCTTTAACAGGTCCCTTAGCGTTTATATTTCCCCCTTTGTTTTACTTAAGAATAGCTCGTAAAACTTGTTCCCAACAGTCAGTTTTGATTATGACTCATCCCTTTCGAAATGAGTCTCCTCTTGCGGAAAAAAATATTACGATTAACCAAGAAAAAGATAAATCAACATGCGAGATCTACTTTTGCGTGGTAATTGTAATCATAGGCCTGCTAATGACCGGACTATCAACTTATCATAATTTTGTTACTAACATTCAATACCTAACATTCTCACCTCCATGTATTTACAATTTTACTACCTAACAATGCTCAATTTTAAATCGGTTAAAAATTGTAAAAAATGGAATCAACGACAACGAAAGAAGAATTTTTTACATTCTAAAATTGCTAGGTTGCAACACAAGAAATTGTAGAACAGTTACAATTAGATCGATTAATTAGTGGAGATAGTTTTAATTTGATATACCTTTTTCTAGAAAGCAGATGATAGAATTTATTTTATTCTTTTAAAATAATAAAATAGTCATGTTAATAATGTAACGGTAAAGAAATTATTTTTTATTTTTTGTGTACTTTTGCTAATAAGTACATTCATATAATTAAATATACAATGAAAGTATAGTCTGTTGATTACTCTACCTACGACAATAGCGAATACCTACAAGGAAACATTCATTTATTTTATTAATGATGTAATAACCCAATATTATGAAACAAAAAATAGATTTTAATGATATTTTTAAGCTCGATGCTTCGTTAGAAGGTGCTACCAGGGTAATGGATTAATTAGTTTTGCAGGTAGGTATATAATTCTCAGAGATTCTCGCACGAAATATAAATATGATTTCATTTTAAATTATTTTGCGTATTTATTAATATACATCGCTATGTATGAAATTTCATGTTGCAATTGGCGAGCTTATTTATCGGTAAATCTAAAAAAGATACAGAAAGAAAAACCGCCTGAATGAACATCTGCACAGTATAAAATAGAAAAATCGCTGTACAAATCTATCCACTTACTACCTATTAAAAGAAAAAAATGTAAAATTTGTAATAAATATGACTAATAATAATATTCAATTTTAGTGGTAGT